CAAAAGTATTTATACTTTCAACATATCAGGTAGCTCTTTACCGGTTTTGTCATAATGAAACTGGTTTTGTCATATTTTTACCCGTTATATTGTAAAGTATTGATATATTTTTATAAAAAGGATCAATACTTTCAACATATTAGGTAACTCTTTATCGGTTTTGTCATAATAAATTGTTTGTCATATTTTTACATGTTATATTGTAAAGTATCAATACATTTTTATAAAAATGATCGATACTTTCAACATATTAGGTAGCTCTTTACCGGTTTTGTCATAATGAAATTGGTTTTGTCATATTTTTATCTGTTATATTGTAAAGTATCGATATTTGTTTATAAAATATCGATACTTTCAACATATCAAGTAGCTATTTACCGGTTTTGTCATAATGAAACTGATTTTGTCATATTTTTATCTGTTATATTGTAAAGTATTAATACATTTTTATAAAGTATTAATAATTTATAGGCGCTATTACTAATTTTATTTTAAATTCCAAAAGTGTCGATACTTATTTAAATGGAATTGATACTTTCAACATATTCGGTAGGTAGTTTAATGTAATAGGCAACGCCTATTTTGTTTTTTACCGTTTACATTATTAGCAACCTTAAAAAAATCGGTAGGTATTTTAATGTAATATGTAGCACTATTTTTTATCGTTTATATTATTAGAAACCTTCAAAAAAATCGGTACGTATTTTAATGTAATAGATAGCGCCTATTTTTTTACCTTTTACATTATTAACAACCTTCAAAAAACCCGGTAGGTTTTTTAATGTAATAAGTAGTTTAAATTTTGTTAACATTTATTCCTTAGATAAGTTTATCATAACTGATAACAAATTAAGTAAGTAATTACCTATTTTGTTACATAAGCGCTACCTAATATGTTATTATGCTTAATAATGTTTCCAGTAATGAACTGGTTATGTTATCATTGGTAACATTCTAAGCGTTTACCTAATATGTTGTAATATCAAATTAAGTAATTAACCTATTTTATTATATAAGCGCTACATATTACGTTATATAAGCGCTACCTAATATATTATTGTACTTGATAATGTTTCCAGTAATTAACCGGTTATGTTATCCTTTGTAACATTTTAGGCGTTTACCTAATATGTTATAATAACAAATTAAATATTTAACGTATTTTATTATATAAGCTCTACCTATTACGTTATATAAGCGCTACCTAATATGTTATTGTGCTTCATAATGTTTCTAGTAATTAACCGGTTATGTTATCCTTGGTAACATTTTAGGTGTTTACCTAATATGTTGTAATAACAAATTAAGTAATTAACCTATTTTATTATATAAGCGCTACCTAATATGTTATTGTATTTTATAATATTTTTAGTTAAATGATATAACATAACCGGTATACATTTTAATCGGTTACTTATTTAACCAACCACGCTATTTTTTAACCACCTTACAACATAACTTCCCTCCTTCAACCCACCCTGACGGCTAGTATATTTTAACAGTTTACTCTTGAAAATACTTATTAATATTTAGTATGCATAAATATTATATATTAGCCCATTTTTATTCGGTATACCCCTTTTCAAGGCTTAAACATTTTATTTTGGATGAGAAGTTGAAGTTGATTTTTAAGTCTAAGACACTAATTAACTTGTAATAGTTTTTTAGATGAGATCCGAACATTTTTCAGGTAAGATTCTTCTTGAAATATGACCAGTTGTTAGTTAATTTTCTTACACATTTTGAAATGCTCCAATTTAACATTCAGAACTCAAGATATGACTATCTTAATAAAAACAACCAATATAGAAAATTGATTACGAGTTCAATGCATGAGTTTTAATTTATTACGAATTTTTAATTATTTTATTAATTATTTAAAATTAAATTCAACCATAGGCTTTCAATTATTTAGTTTAGGTAATTTAGGATCAATTTATTATTTTTAGATTTATTTTGTTAGTCAACGTATTTAACATTAATGTAAAAGATATTAGATTTGAGAGTTTTTGAAGCTTATAAATAGGTACTTTTCTTATGTACATAAAAAAAAAGACGAATCACCTAAAGTATTGTAATATGAAAATATGAGAAACAAAAAAGAAATTTTGTTTAAAGATGTTCCTTTTTTTACTTGTGTACTTATTGTTTCGGTTGTCTCGACCTTGTGTTCGTTCGAAACCTTATCAAATGAGAGAAAATTAATGGATAAAAAACTAATTTTAATTAGATCTTCTTAAATCTAACATTCCTTGAGGTTTTTAAGTGAAAATCGATAGTGGATCTTGAAGGTAGAAAAAATGTAGTTTATTTTTTCTTTTTATAGGTAACTTGAGGATTCCATCTAGATCCCTAAGGGATCCACCTGTTTTGATGGTTTTGGTCTAATTATTTCCCCAATCCTTCCAATTTTTCTTTGAAAGTTGAATTTAGTTTATTTGTATTTGTTTCCGTTGGTAAAATTGGTCCAATAGATCAAGCGGGTTAAAATATTAAACCTATTATGCCATTTTCAAAATTAATTTAGGATCTACGGCATTTATTATAGTGATTTGGAATTTGATATGTTGACATGATGAGTTTGAATAAAAAATGTTATTTGAGTGAACCCGTCATGTGGACGTGGCGAGTTTACCCTGTAATTTAACATTTATCGTAGATCACAAAATAAATCCGAATTGACCCAATTGACTTATTGGGTCAATTATGTCAATTTCGATTTTATTTCTTTCAAATTAGATTTACATTTTTTTGTTATTTTAATTTTACCCCTGTTCCTTCATACATTGTAATATATTTTAATTTCCCCATTCCTTTTTTAAGTTTTATCCTAATTTGATTATTTTTCGATTTTATATTATTGATTTATTTTTAAGATATTTTAATTTACTCTAATTTGATTTTCTTTCTTTTATAACTTAATATTCTAAAAATTCTCTTTTTATTATTTACAGGCTTTATAATGACATAATTAATAAAAAGTTACCATCTCCCAAATTATTATTTTTATCCCTTATTGATACTTGTAGATTTTATAATTTTTTAATATGTTATTATCACGAATCATCTAATTGCCTTATTCCAAATTAAGGAAAATCAGAGTAGTTTTTTGGATTAATTTGACTGTCAAAAATCCTCCTATTCTATGGAATAGTCTAAAGGAAAAATATGAAAATAGAAAATTGTCATACTTTCTAAAGATCGATGTGATTGAAATCATTTCAGATTATAAAATCTTAAATCATATGTGAATATAACTTAACTATATTTCGAATTATTTTGCAATTGAAATTATATGATCAGGTTGATGGGATTGTGCGAAAAACCATACTTCACTTTTTTTTTTAATTAATCACTACTATCCGGATCTATTAATAGACTAATCTAGATCGAGTATTGTAGAGGCGAGAGCGACCCTCTTAACCCAGTTTGCTCTATTCGTAAACGCTAAAATTCGAATCTTTGACTTTTCTTAAAAGACCTAGTATCTCATTTCACTGGACCAATGATTATTAGTAACCATACTTCACTTTTAACAGTGGATATTTATTAACAATCATGATAAACGGAAGAAAATATTTTTCTTTTTGCGGAAATGGACGATTTTAAGATCGTCTGTCTAACTAACTTTAATGTTATTGAATTCCTACAATCCCTTAAAGGAAGTCATTGATTCTTTAAGTTTTATTATTTTATGTTAATTTATTACTTTATTAACATTTTCATTTAAATTATTTAGAATATCAGTTTCCAACTCACGGACACGCGCAGAAGGCTTTTCCTCAAACTAATAATTCAACAATATTACAAGGATCAAAAGAGGTATTAGCTAATTAACTGAATACACGTGTCACACATGTGTATTTAGGGGTGAGCCTACTTAGGCCACGACATACCTCATGCTCCAATATAATATTTTATTAAATATATAAATTATGTTTAAAAAATTATATCGGTTTAGTTGATAAATTTTCAAATTCAGTTTAATTATATATTAATTATATTTTTAAATTAAAAAATAAATACAAATTATGTTAGATAAATTTTTAGGTATAATGTCAAAATTAGTCCTAACATTTATCAAAATGATAATTTTGGCCTTTATTCTATTTTTTTAGTATTTTGGCTCTTAATATTTTATTTTAGGACAAAAATGTCTCTAATGTTTAATCGAATAATCACTTTAATCCTTTTTTCTAAAATATTTAGGCTTCCGATGTTTCATTTTAGAGTAAAAAGGAACCTTATTTAATGATTTTTTATCATAAAATTTAAAAAATTTAGAGCTAATTTTAATATTATACAAAAAAATTCTTATATTTATATTGGTCCATCCAATAAAAGTTTTCTATATACGCCATTGCATGCTTTAATATATGGATATCGTGAGTTCCTGAACCTGTGTTAAAAGAGAACTTGTAGCAAATTTGCAAAATGTTGAACTTCGAAGTTGAAATTCTAGCAAGAGAAATCATCAAACCATCTTCAACACAAATCCATGGCATGAAACCTTTCAACCTCACCTTCTTTGATCAACTTACCTCCGAAATTTACACAACAAATATCTTATTCTACTCCATTAGTGAAACCGGATTCAGTCCCAACATTTTCTTGCCTCATCTAAAGACCTCACTTCAGAAACCCTAAACATCTTTTATCCATTTCTGGTCGGATCAAAGACAACATATTCGTCGACAGTTTCAATGGAGGCATTCCGTTTTTTTCGGCTCGAGCCGGTTGTCGGTTGTCCGAGTTCCTTAAGCACCATGAGCTTAGATCATTGAACAAATTGATTCCATGCCCTCCTTTCTCCAGGGAATTTAAAAGTGATCTTGCCCCCTTTGTGTGCCAAGCCACCATTTTCTCTTGTGGTGGGATAGCAATAGGGTTCGCTGCTTCTCATAAATTGGTTGATGCACAAACATGTTCTATTTTTAGCAGTGTTTTGAGCACAATCTCTCGAAGATCCCATTATCGTAATGTTGGGTTTCATGGTTTAGCTGAGTGCATCCAAGGTGTTTCCACCACGAAATGAAGTGCCAAAATATTACTTGTCAACGAAGGAAAACTTGTGGTTCCCTGAATCTAATAATTACATTACAAAGAGATTCACGTTCGATGCCGAATCCATAAACGATCTAAGGGCCATTGCTAAATGCGATCTCGGGGTTCAAACTTTATCAGGTTTTATCTGGAAATGTTTTATTGCGGCATCGTGGACGATATTGGCATCCTCGAAACCATCTATAGTTGTTAAAGCTGTGGACCTTAGGCCAAGAATGAACCCTCCTTTATTACATAATTCGATTGGAAACCTGTTCTGGTGGGCAAGTTGCATTGCAGATATTGCTGACGAGACCAGCACTGAGTTATTCGAGTTGGTCAGGTTGATGCGAGAATCCGTGGAAGCTTTGGATGATGAATTCTTGAATTCATTACATGGGGAGCAAGGGTTTGAAGCCATAGGGGACTTAATTAACCAGCTGGAAGCCATGTTTTCCTTTGAAAAACCAGACATTTTGGTCTTCACAAGCTGGTGTAATTTTAGGATTTACGAGATTGATTTGGGGTGGGGAAAGCCGGAATGGGTTACTACTCCATTTGGGGAAGTCGGGTATGATTTTAGGAACCTCATTCTTTTTGCCCGAAGAAAGTGCGGGAAAGGTATTGAAGCTTGGTTAACATTGGATGAGAAAAGGATTTTTTTTGTTGGGGAAAGATACTGAGTTCATCAAGTTTGCATCTCCTACTCTCAAAATTTCAAGTCTTTGATGCAATTGTCTTCTGTTGTTACATTCCACTATCGATATGCCATTTTTGTAGTTATTTTTGAAGTTATTGGTTGGGAAGAAATGGGTGAGGGTTTAGAAATGGTGGAGGTGTCGAGAGGTTGTTGATGAAGTTGAATGTGTTAGAAAATAATACTGCTGAAAAACAAAATAGATAGTATTGACTAACAAATAAAAAAAATTAAAATAAATAAAACAATTTATTATGCCATGGTAAAAAGTCACTATTTTGGAAGTAATTTCATCCATATTGATATAATCTTTAAATGGACGTTGCCCCCAAAATTAAGACAATCTTTCAAATCTCGTACACCCGAAGTGAGAAAAGTGGAATCCACTTGTGCTGCTCTCTTCGACCAGAAATTTTACATAAACCATTAATTATACATATCATTTTAAAGAGGGACTATCCATTTTATAGGAGTAGTAGAGGGGTGAAATTGTCAAAATGACAATTACACACTATCGTAATTGTAACACTCATTTCTCGTATCAGACCCTAAATACGATTCAAAGATATCACATTAAACATTTAAAACAACCCTTATTTGAAAATCAATAAATTTTGATTCTTTAAAAATCATCAAACTTAACACTAAAACCAAAATTAATTAATCGTGTAAAATCAAAATATAATATTTTTATATTCGAATCAAGTTTGATTTTAAGCAACAACATGGTAATTCGATACTGTTTTATATAAATAGTGAAACTACCTAAAATCTGCTTAAATAAAAATTCATCTCAATAGCAATTAAAATATAGTTTACTAAAATACTAACCATGCAAACTATTATTTATGTCAAATATTATTAAGTACTATCCATTATAAGCTAATATTTTAAGTACTACCCATTAAATAAAAATTTATCTCGATAGTAATTAAAATATAGTTTACTATAATACTAACCATGCAAACTATTATTTATATCTAATATTATTAAGTACTATCCACTATAAACTAGTGTGTATATATAAAATACTACAAACCAATTCAAACAGTCTTATATCATAGTATCATAACACACAAATATTCACATGCCAATTAGAAATATCAAAAACATAAAAAAGAAGTCATACTAATACTACAAAGTTGATCCTCAATGAGTGATGCCTAGCTAAGCTCATGTACTCCACTCGCTTTTCTTTACCTATGCGTGAAACCATCATATGCTAAATATACACTTAGTGAGCATTTTCATATATAAAATGAAACATATTAATGTATAAAGTACCATTTAAATCACAATACGATAAATATCATATAACAATATATAAACATATACAAAAGGCTTATTAAAGTCACTTTCATATAAATAACCTATAAATCAGTAGTTTAGACATAAATCATTTTATACCAAATTAGAGTATTCGATTAAAGATTTACTTTCAATCGAATCAATCAAACCTGCACTTTTCACATTCAGCCCATAGCCCAATGTATACTAAATGAAAATACATGGTATGCCAGTCACATACGAGTATACACAATTTGCACTTTTAGTGCCACATAGAATGTATAAAGATACCATCAACACATATGTATCATTTACCCGAATAGGAATACTAGTACCATCAACACATATATGCCATATAATGTATCCTGAGAGTACGAAAGCACCATCAACACATATGTGTTGCGTAGTAATACTCTACCTTATGGCATGCCAATTATACCAAGACTTACAATATGCATATAGTGGATATTATATCAAAATCATATATCATTCATTTATCAAAAGTATCCATAGAAACACATATATCAAAATATCGTATAATAATGCATTGAGTAGTTCGTACTCGAAATGATTCAAATACCATTTAGCATGAAAATATATATCATAATGCGATTCAAATCTTTTTTGTTTCCAAACCAATCGAGGTTGAATCATCGCAAGTCTTCCTCATATCATAGCACCTGGTATACTTTACTATCAAACCTTTATCAGTGATTCAAGATTCACTCCTTCACTTTTTCTTTAGTTTTAAGTTCGCTTCATTCTTGGATTTGGTCACGATCTACACGAACATTATTAACAAAACACAAATTTCAAAATATATGTTAGTATATTACTAACATAGTAAATTCCTAAAAAAAATTCGGTACTTATTCAATAATAATTCCATTTCCTAAGATCAATGTCTACCTTAACATTTCAAAATACAACATCAATTCTCACAATATTCAACTCAATGAATAATTCACATAATTATTTCCAATTTCACCACTTAATCATCAAAATGAAATCTTTTAGAATTTATCTTAATATTTCAAAAATATTCAAAAAGGTCCCTGACCATTTAACTTCAAATTCAAACATCTAATAACAATTTCAAGCATTCTAAATCAACTCCAATCAATTTCCATATCAACTCCTTAATTTCTACACTTTACAATTTGTTCCTTTAACCTTTACATACTTCCAAATTAGTCAAAACAACATTCTAAACCTTGTAGAATCATCTATTCATCATTTCTATCCTTAGTGTAAATTTTTCCCAATTTTTTCCTAATATTCTTGTCATGGTTGAATCTTATATGGTACATTAGACATGATTTCCAACTTGATTCAAGAATGAATTCAACCTCCAAACATCATTTACAAGCATTTACAATCAATCCCATATAAAATTCAATTCAAACTTAAATTTCCTACATGAACCCTAGCTTGGCTAAATATGAATTTAACCATTTCCAATGATTTCCAATCATCTTTAAAGCATGGAAATGATTCAACTACATCATAATAAAGTCTTAAAACACATCAAAACTTAATATCCCCTTCATCCACCGAATTCATTAATTTAGAGTTTCAAACATGGAAAGCATGAACAAATGGTATCAAATGATAGATAATTTCATGCTTTCATCCAAATTCATAATGAATTGGCTTGAAAATCAAAAATAAAATGTTTTCTTACCTTGTATGTAGCTCGCGAAAATGGATTATTTTGGGCAAAGAAGTCTTGAAAATTCTAATTAAAATATCTAAGCCATCTGCCCTTTTAATAATCAAAATGAATTAAAAATAATTTTAATATCAAATGATCATTTTGCCCTTAAAGAATATAATCCATAACTTGCCACATGTCACTTTATTCATCCAAAGGTCAAAAGTAAACCAACACATTGATTGTTTCCAACTTTGGCCTTAAACTTTTTCAAAATTACTATATTGCCATTTTCATCCAATTGTCCCGATTTAACATGGAAAATCAACTTAAATTCAATGATCCATATTAAATCTTACCATTTTAAGGCGATGAAATGGCATTATTAAACTTTCCTTATCATCCTTCAAAATATCTCAATTATTTGATTCAATCCGATTACTCGAATTTTTCATGAACTTTGATGCTTTATAGCCTTTAATACAAACTCTGTACAAAAAATCTAAACGACATAAAACTGTCATACATAAAAATGTCATTCTCAAGAAAAACTATTCACTTACGAGACTAAAATTCATAACATTTAAAAATTATAATCTAATCCCTAAATTTTTCTTGAGTTTATAATTTATCCCCTAAACTTTCAATTCACTAATTTTGGTCACTAGCCAAAATTTTGGGGTATTACAGTAACATCCCAAAAAAATTAAAAAATCTTAGGGGTTTTTTTTTTTTACTAAAATTGGGTTTCCTTTTAAAAATTAAAATATATGGTTCGCAGAAGTTGCCACTAATCTTTGTTTAGGTCAAAAAAAATATTTTGTTATTTTAATAAAAATATAATTTCAAAAATTATTAAAACAAATTTTAGGTCTACTTTCTAAAAAATGAGTTGAAGATTTGATTACATGTGGGGAAGTGTTAGCACCCCCAGAACTCCCGAAAATCGATACCTAGTCGATTAATTAATGTATTTGCAATGGAATTTATGAATTCCAACTTAATTTAATTAATGATCCTTTTTTAGTTAAATAAATACAATTTTATTTAACCAATTAAAGTTTTAGAGATAAAAGTTAACAATTTGTTGCATTTAACTAGAGAGAATTAACCACCTAATATAAGGTAGAATGACATAATATGAAGTAGGATGACATACATCTCTTTTCCAACTAAAGCAGTGAATTGTCCATAATTTTTCTCAAAACTTTGAAGTTAAATTAACAACACTATACCATTTCAAACCAGAGGGAAACACTGCCTAATATAAGGTAGAACGACAATTTCCCTTTTTGGAAAGAAATAAGAATTGTCATAATCGAACGTTGTATTTATTTACCTAAGGTTATGCAACAAACAAATACTATTTAATATTATTGAGCCTTTAAGATTGACAGGGAATGTTCAAATATTTATAAATACTGAGTCTAAATCATCGAATAGGATTGAGTGACTCATCCTCGTTAGATCTAAATACAAGAGCATTTCCCTTTCTACCCTCTTAATTAATTCTAAGATATCATTATTTTTTAATGGTTCTAATGGTGGGTACTTTTTCATTTTAAATTATCGAATTGAACTACATAGGTGGATTAGGATAACTCTCTTCGTTAATTTAAAATAAACAAGCATTGTCTTTTAATTTATTATGGAAAGAGGTTGAGTGATATGGATGAGGATATCATGCTTATCAGTACAAAATGTCATACAATCAATATATTTCATGAAATTAGGCAATTTAATTATGAAATTAAAAAAATAATCATGCTCGAATTAAGACACAAATTAATTAATCATGATGGTTTATAAATATCACCAAAATTAAGTAATCATGGATTATTTAAAAAAAAAGTAACAAATTGATCAAAGTAATCAATAACTAGTCATGCATGAAATTAAAACATTACACAAACATAAAAAACATGGAAAATATCAAATTAATAACTAATAATAAAAAAATAATTAAAATTAGAAAAGGGATTTACTTGCATTAAAATGAAAGATTATATGGACTAAATTGCAAATTAAAAGGCATAATTTTAGGA